ACTGGCTGCCTCTGTGTGCCAGGGCTACCCTGCCTCTATTATTATTACTACTACTACTACTATTTTTTTTTTTTTTTTTTGCAGTGCTGGGGATGGAATCCAAGACCTTTTGCAGGCTAGGGGAGTGCTCTACCACTGAGCTAGCCTCCTTTCTGCCTTTTGAATTTGTTACATGCTAACATGTGATCTATTTAAATTTAATATTGCTTAAAATAGTGTCAAATTTTAGAAAACTTGCATAAAAAAGCTAACATATAATGCTTACTTAAATTGATCCATTGTTAATATTTTACCATATTTGTGATATCACTCATCTGTCTGTGTGGTAGTGTGCATATGTTCAGTGTGTACAGTGTTTCCTAAAGACAAGAATATTCTTTTACATCAACCTAGTACATTCTCACTGCTAGCTAAGCTGTATGTCCCAATAATGCACTTTTTAGCCGCCTTTTTCGTGTCCAGCATCCAATTCATGTTTGTAAGCTTACATTTTTATTCTCTTTTAATCTTCTCTTGGTTTTCTCTAGACTTTCCTGACCTTGACACTTTTGTAGGCCCCAGGTGGGTTATTTTGGAGAATGTCCCTCTGTTTGGTGTTTCCTCGCGATTAGATTCAGAAAAGAAGTAATTTCAACAAGAGAGATGATGCATTGTTGATGCCTGTGAATTTAAGCAATCAAGGGGACCTCATGGGAGAGATTCTAAAGGCTCCAGGCCAAGTGTTGAACCATTCAAGTAGTTTTTGTTAGACACCTATTATAAATTGTACCCAGCTGTAGATCCCTGGAATATATTAGCAACAACAAAATTTTGTTCTTGATGAGTGTAGTGGCTTAAACGCAGATGCCCCCTGGAATTTCAGAAGGTGATTTATTTGCAAATATGGTCTTTATAGATGTGAAGTGCAGCTCTCCCTGCATTGCCAGGATGGGCTGGCAATCTTATGAGAGAGAAAATAGAAGACTCAAACACACAGGGAAAAGGCCAGAGGCACAGTCTGGGATTGCTCTGCTGAAAACAGGGGAAGGGTTTAAGGGCTAAGGGTTTGCCATGTGCAACTGTGCTCGATTGGTATCCAAGTTGATTTCACTTGGAGCCTTGCACCTTCAGAAGGGGCCATTTGTCTTTCCCTACATGCAGCCAGCTGTAAGATTCCTTGGGAGGGAAGGTTTCTATATATCGATGTCAGAAAATAGCCTTGGTCAATAGAGACTGGTAATTAGAGCTACACTGATCCTGAATAAGAAACTCAGAAGAAACTTTCACCTTCCACTGATTTCTGCGCCTACTTCCCACCCTCTATCTCTATGCAATGTCCCTGGGGTTTACTATCCTAGAGGACATGTCCATCTGTCCTATTATTCCTTCTCAAATTTATTGTTCTTCATTTTAAATGTGTAAAAGCACCATGCTTTGACCATTTCTTTTCAGATTGCATTTTCTTATGAAGACCCCTTCACACATATACATTTAAAATCTTTATCACTTTGCCAAGTGCTCATATTAGTTGGGTTCTTAGATCCAGCCAAGAACCCACACAAGAGTTAGGAGAGGGAGAAGACATCTTTACTTCCCTGCATTAGGACACCAGGAGCAACTGGAACCTTCACGTGGTAGGGAGGATCCTCCTCAGCAGGCTTTGGAGGTGACAGATTTGCTAACACTTTGATTTTGGACTTCTGAAGACTTGATAGGTGTGATAGAATAAATTTCAGTGTGTGATGATTTGTTCCAGCAACTGCAAGACACTAGATGCAAAGGTTCCATCTTAGCTGTGATAATGTCGGGGCAGAACCTTGTGCCCTGTGTTTGGATGATGTACTTAGTCACCTTTCCATTGCTGGATGAAATATCTGACATACACAACCTAAAGGGACAAGGATTTATTTTTGGCTCACACGTTCAGGGTGTGATGGGCTGGCTCCAAGGGTGAGACATCATGGAAGGCAATGGTGGAAGAAAGCTGCTCACCTCATGGAGATCAGAAGCAGAGAGGAAGGGGAGGAGTTTTGCAAAGACAGAGCCTTTGAAGTTGTCTTAGTTACTTTTTACTCATTACTGAGACAAAATACCTGATGCCAAAGTTAGGGAAGGAAAGTTTATTTCTTACAGTTCTTGGACATTTCAGTCCATATTCAGTTGGCTCCAAGTCAGCGTGGCATGGCGGGGCAGCCTTTCATGGTGGTTGCAGACAGCAAGGCACAAATCTGCAAAAGACACACACACACACACACACACACACACACACACACACACACACCCTCTTCCTGCCAATACATCATATCCTGGCTCCACCCCTGGGCGGGTAAAACATTCACACCACCAATCTAAGTGCTAAACAACGAACCAATCACAAATGCTAGATTTGGTCCAGTCCATAATTCATGAGGTTTGGGGACCATTGACATAAGCCATGACAGAAGTCATGCCCCCACTGATCTATTTCCTCTAACTGGCTCAATCTCCTGATAGCCCATTCAGCTACAAGTCTGAGGTCAGCACCCTTATGATCCTATCAGCCTCTCTAGATCCCACCTCTGAACATAGGAACACTTTAGGGGAACAATTCATATTTAAGCCATAATAGATATATTCTGTGACATCAAGAGAATGGCATCTACCTCACAGGGGGCCTAGTAGAGCACAGAGATTAAGTGTCTGACATATACATAGTAGATACTTCATAATTGATAGCTCTTATTACTATGGTTCTATCTGTCAATAAGAACTTGAGAGCAAAGTTTGTCCAATAATCCTCCCTGGGCACATAGTGGTGGGAACATCTCCACTTGAGCAGGTCCCAGCTTCGTAGAAGTGAGAAGGAGCACATGATTCTAGAGGGTTCTTCCCTCCTCTGTGGCCTTCTACCTCAGAAGCCTTAAACCAGTGATTGCCAACCTTTTAGAGCTTTTGATGATACAAACAGCTCACTGTGGCACGCATGTCATAGGTTTGCCTCCACTGCCCTAAAGCAGCCCCAGTCTATGCTGCAAGGCAGACCTGAGGTTCCTTCTGGCCCTGCTTCAATCTACTGTGTCCTGCAGGGCTGATTACTGTGGCGGAAAGTGACTTTGGCTGCTGGATTGAGAGTCACAGCTCTGGGGATGGAGTGTGCAGTTCTCCTTGCTCTTCCTGGGGCCTGCCAGACTCTCTCCATCTCAGGGCCTTTGCACTGACTATTACCCTGCCCCAGGAAGACACAAAGTGTGTGTGTGTGTGTGTGTGTGTGTGTGTGTGTGTGTGTAGGAAAGAGAGAGACAGAGAAATACAGAGAGCAATAGAGACAGAGAGAGGCTCTGACTTGCCTTTCTAGGACACCACCAGGCCTCCTGGCTGTCAGCAAGGTCTTTAGAGTGAGTAATTGTCCCCGCTACATGGAGAGCCTACAGTCTGCAGATGGGGCCAGGACATCCAGTTCTTGGCTTTGTATGCCCAAGAAGGTCCCCTTAGCTTTTCCCCTTCTATTTGAGGTGCCCTGGGGTGGGCAGCAATTGGGTCCAAGCCACTATTATTGGATAGGCCTGGACCAGAGGCCACAAAGCCCTGCTCCAAAGTGGGGACCTGTGTCCACCGCCTATCACAGAGTTTACTGGAAGCAAGACTCCTATTGTTGCTTATCAAAAGGACCCCTTGTTCCCAAGTCACATTAGTGACTCCAAGGAGTAACGGAGTAGCCTTTCAGGTGTTTTCCCAGCTCCCCAGAAACAGGGCTCAGCCTGGCATCTATGGATGTTTTTAGGCTACATAATGCAATTTCGCCTTGAATTCCCACAGCCATGTTTTCCTTTTTGAGGTCCCGTCATGCCATCCATCCAATGTCTGCAACTCTTTCACAGTGTAGATCAGCCAAAGGCTTCTTCCTGATTCTCACATGGTAAAATGAGGCTCCCCTAGGAAAAGGACTGGTGCAAGGCTACTCAGCAAATCAGAGAAGCTTGAGAACCACCCTGTAGTGCCCTACAGAACCTTGTCTCCTAGGGATACATAGGGGCCTAATTATTTGTATAGGCCCTTTTGCTTCCTCTGCATGGACCATGACCACGGTCAAAGAGTGGAGGCACAGGGCAGAATGTGGGCAGCCAGAAGACATGAGAGGGGCTGCATCTTGGGGCAGAGCTTTAGTGTGAAAGGCAGCCATTCCTCCCATGGCCTCTACATGGTGGGCCATAGGCTGCTGGCAAAGACCTAGCAGCTTACACCCCAAGAGAGCCTGAGTTATGCAAATTGCTAGCTTTGGTTTTAATTTATTTGCAGATGAATAACCCTCCCTGGAGAAGGAAGGAGGTGGGGCATACCATCTCTTTTTAATTATTTGGAGCATTATTTCCAAAGCCCTTTGAGCTGAGGTTGGAGAATGAGGATTGGAGGGGATTCTGATTCTCCAGTGAGTCCCTTCCAGATAGCTTTTCCTCAACCACCACATACCCAATCAACTGTCCAGGGCCCAGGTTGAGCCCCACAACTTTTTGCTGTGCATGACTGCCTGATGCCTCCTCTTTACTTTTTACGATCTGATACCTCTGTACTCAGTCAACTGAGCCTTGGTAACCAGGCAAGGTAGGGTATGGGATCAGAAACCAGCAGCCAGATGCTTGCAGGGGAGCGTGGTCCTGTGGGGTAGCTGCTCCTTACTCACTCAGGCCAGCTGGCCTTGGTGTAAATCGGATCATTTCCTCCCCTGCTCAAGTGCCTTCAATGGCTCCCCGCTCACTGTGGGCTATACAGTGGTCTTGGGGCTCCCCATCAGTGTGAGGGAACACGCATTTTCCAGTCCTCTTACCCTCCCGTCTGCTCCCTGGCTCTGCTTTCTGCTCTCCTGCTCTCTGGTCTCAGGGCCTTCACACTCACTGACTGCTGCCCAGAAAGCACCTCAGCAGGTACCAGCTTAGCTTCCTTTCTTAAATGTCCCCTCATTGAAGCCCTCCCTGTTTTTTTTTATTTTTATTTTTTTTATTTTGAAGGTAGTAAAAACGCAACATCACAAGACAGAACAAAGCCAGTCGAGACAATGCAGTGAAATTGGTACAGGATTTCACAGTAGGATACTGGGATAGTAGTAATAGGTACTGTAGTGTATCTCTTTAACTTCACAATAGTTGTCCAGTCAATTAGGTATATCAAAATCAAACCAAAAATAGAACATTATAAAACCAATTGAGAATACTTAATAGAGCAAAAGAAACATAACAAAACAGTAAAAACAACCTATTCCTTCAAACAGAAGATAGATGGAAATCCCCCATATTTGCTATACTGCATATGGTCATCCTCCCAAGAGATGCTGAGATATCTATCCCCAGTAGCCATGGAGGCAGGGCAGATGGGGGAAGGGTGCTTGATTTTCAGCCCGTGTGGCAGTAGGCTCACAGATAATGGTTCTCCTCTAGGCCCATGCTGCAGGTGCTTACCAAGAGGGCAGGTGAATAAGAGGCCTGAGTCCCTCCATGGCTGGATTTCGGAAGCCCTCCCTCCCTGTTACAGTGCAGTGGATGCTCATGGCCCCATCCAGCTCACCTCTGCCCCTGGACCTGACCTTGGTGGAGGGATGGCTGCCTTTCTTTCTTCCACAGGTGGGTGGGCCACAGGCAAGTGCTGACTGACAGAGTGCAGTGTCGTGATGTGTGTTTTGTTGTTATGATTCTTGTGAATCTAAGTAAATTGGTATTTTAATTATGACTAACGTGGTGGTGCTTTGACACCACTAACTCCCTATTGAGCAGTGACACAACCAGAACTGAACCAAGTGGCCAATAGCCATTGTGTTGGCTGCAGTCACACTGGCAGTTACACATCCATATGCAAATGATAGTTGGTGTCCAGGAACTTTCCCTCCAATGCCGACATGTGGCAGTTGAGACAACCCACCATCTGGGGCTGCATTAGACACAGCTCCTGTGAGAATTTGACCTCCATCCTGGGATCCCTAATTGCTTGGCAAAGGGCTGCCTTTCTGGGGATGGAGACAAAACCAACTTTAGCCCAGGATGCGTCTCCCACCTGAAGCTGTGTTTGTAATTTAGGTTTTCTTATTCTCTCTGAAAAGACCCCACCCCATGAACAACCTTTTGGTACCTCCTGGCAGCTTGATGACAATCTAGGCCCGTATGAGTGTCCTCTGGATGGGCGGGGGCTCCTGAAGTGTTAGGGTGGCTTCTTGCATAGATGTTCTGTGTTTGGTTCCTTGCAAGCACTCTGTGCTCCGGTGATTTTCTGTCACCTGTTTTGCCCATATTGTCATGTCTTCCTTTTGCTTATCTTGCTTATTGTATTTTTATACATTGCAGTGCTCTATTCATTCAGGATCTTATGTAGCTTGTCATTTGCTATGGGTTAGAAGGGTCTGTCCCTCATTAAAGAAATAATCTTTGAGGTACAATTGTAACCAGAGGCTGGGGAGTCAGATGACCCTGGTTGATCCGGTGTGACAAAAGCCTTCTGGGGAATATACATACTAAGTATGTATATTCCATGCCCCAGAGCTCCTGTGAGGAGGGGTGGGCAAAGCTGGACTCCAGTCCAGCTTAGCTCTCTCTCCCTCTCTCCCTCCCTTTTCTCTCTCCCAAGGCTTCTTTCAATCTATTGCATGCCTGAGTCCTCATGTCGGGCCCTGCTACTGGGTACTGGGTAGAGACTCACGCTGTTAAACATGGAGAAACTCAACTTTCACTCACAGCCACCCTGTGTCCTGCTTTATATTCCCTAACTTTCTGCCTTCTGATAGACATCCTCACTTTTTCCTTTGATTTTCTTTTATGGGTGTCTTTTTCTCAATGTAAAAAATGAAGTCTCATACAGAGCACAGGGAGTTATCTGTTTGTTTCTCCCTTCTCGTGGTCTGTAAGCAGTAGGTGCACATGAAATAGCGGTTTCGTGAATGACTGCACGGAATGGAGTACTGCTGGACAGTCTTGGGCTGGACCCAGGCTCCACAGTGCCTAGGAGAGAGTCTAGCGTTGAGGGACTGTTGAGACCAGCTGGAGGAAAGTAAATGGGAGAGAGGGGTAAGTGGGGGAGGGGCATCTAGGAAAGCAACAGAGCATTCTGGGAGCCAGGTTGTCTCACAGCGGGCAGGTGGGGAGGTGCTGCGGGCAGCCTGGGTCTTCAAATAGCCCCGCTGCAAGGATCTGTGCTGACACCACACAGGACTGGTTCCTGAAAGGTCCCTCTTCTCACCACGGCAGTGGCAGCGAGAGGTCTTGGAAGTGGAATGGAAGAAAGATCTTCCTTCTGCAGATCTAGAGCAGTTTAGGAATGGAAATTGCCTGTCACTGAGAGTCCCCTGTGTACCAGGGTGAGGCCATATATCACCTGCCCGAATCTCAGTATAATTCTCACTCAACACTGGACATGCCTCTGATCAAAGCTTACAGATGCATGCCGCCTGCCTGCCTGTCTGTCTGTCCATGGAGAATGTACACTTCAGGAGATGCTTTGCTGGTCCTTTCTCTTTGGTGCACAGACTGCTGTATATACAAATCACATGGGCCACATGTCCTCACTCAGTCTCCTATACTTGGCAAACATGCACAACTCAGAGGGAAAATGAGGCTATCCCTTGCTTACTATGTGATCATAGGGAAAATTCTTAAATTCTCTGAGCCTCAGCTCATGCATCTGCAATATGCTAATAAATTTAATTATTTTGCAACTTTTGTTAAATACCTAGTATGTGCTGGGTGCTGTGCTAGAACTAGGGATTGAGCATCACACATAGACTGTCTCTGTCCCCATGGAAGATGTGGACAAGATTTCCAAGTAACTCAATCATTAGCAGAGTACAAAACGCAATGTTGTGTGCTTCTATTTGTGAACCACATGGCTGAGGGGAGAGGTGAGCCCATCTCTGCAGAGGAACCCTGGCCCCTCCTCCCTGAAGAGAGGGGAGCTGAGAAGCAAGTAAAGCAAGGAGCAGAGATGCAGTCTCAGGACAGTAGTGAGAAGCAGCAAATGTTAAGGCCAGAAGCATTTGTAGGAGCCAGCCCAGGTAGACAGCTGCACATTTGCCTCTAATTGGACACTTGACTTCTGATGAAGCCCAGAATCCTTAGTTTTAGCTTCCTGCCTACTTTCTTTCCTTGCCATAGGCTGGGAAACTGAGATAGGAAAGTACCCAGCACTTCTGACCACAGCACTGAAGCCTTCAACACCGACTATTTACCACTTTGCATGGCCATGGTGGCACAACTTGGATAACCCACAGTACTTTCCTGACCAAAAATGGAAATGAGGACTAAGATGTCCTCCTCAGGAGATGGGGCTAAAGGAAAGGCACCTTCCTTGGACCATGTACCCAAGGAGGGCAGGTGAACGGTCTCAGCTGCTCAGCTCACACAAGCTTCCTTGGGTCAGAAGCCAGGTTTCCTAACTGTTGGCCAAGGCTCCACTGTGCATGGTCACTACCTTACTTTGACCCTCAGCTGCTCCTTCTCTCTCTGAGCTTCAGTCTTCCAATCTATGAACTGGATGATTGGATCTTCAAGGACCTGTCTGAGTTTGTACTCCTTTCTCTTGCTGGCCCTGGGAAGCACAGGGCAGGGCAGGTTCTACCCATGGTGCCTTCTTCCAGAGGATACTGGGGCACCCAGCTCCTTCCCATTCCCATTGCCTTTCCATTCCATTTCCATGCCCACCGCGTGGTGCAGGAATGAGGGTGTTACATGGCTGAGTGCCTAACGGCCTAACGGCTGTCTGATGGATTTCCAGAAGCAAGCTGCCCTTCCTGCCAAATAGAAAAGCTTTCCTGCTGTATGGTTCTGAAAGAAAACAAGCAGTTATGTCTTTCAAGGTTTGAAATGAGCACTGTAACTCCAGGGGAGAGGCAGAGCAGTTATTTTCTGGTCTGCAGACCTGACAGCCAACATCTTTCTCAGATCCAGAAGTTACCATTACAAAGGAAAAACACACTTCTGGCTTTCCAATGCATCGGTGGTCAACTCCCAGTCTAATGATAGGGGAAAACAGATTTCTCATTCAATTCCAGGAACTTCTTTGCCTACAGCTCTGCACCCATCGAGTCCTAACCAGGCTGAGCTCTGCAGAAGGAAGGGCAGCTTCAGCCACCATTAATGATTCCCTGAGTGATTTTCTGCTGGGAACGTCTAGCAGCCTTCTTACCTACCCACCAGGCTCTGATTCCCTGCTCCCACCCAGAAAATCTCCCTTCCCATGAATGTGCTCCACCCCACCAAAGCCTCAGAGAGGAATCTTGCCCTCTTTCACTCCTGGCTCTGCTCTACCCCGTCCCAGGAGGCACTAGAGGTGGCCTAGTTTATTCTGATCCATCATCCCTGCAGCCCTGGTCCACTGCTTCTGCCCACCACACTGGTGCACAGACTTCTGTACCATTTTGGGGGGCTTTTGACCCCTCAGTCCCAACCCTCTACATTCTGCATGGCCCGGGACAGCCATGCCCACCCCAGCCCCTATCAGCTTCTGCAGACCAGGCTGGCTCTTCTGGCGAGCTGGGTGCCTGTCTTCTCTCTTGGTATTGATCTGGATATGCCCCTTCCAGAAGTACCCAGACTCCACATCCCACCCCTAATTCTGGCACAGGGTTCCGGTACCCAAGCTTGAAACGAAGTCAGGAAGTAATCTCCTCTAGACCAGTTTCCCACTGTGTGCTAGACTGCAGGAGGACCTCTTCCCCCACCCTGCCTGCGCTTCCACACCCCACAGAGACAGAGCGCTCTCCTTCCCCTCTCTGCCTTGCACATACACATGTACTTTCTCTCTCCCAGCTCCTGGTCCTGCCACTGGGGAACAACTGGGTACTGTCTTTCCTTGCGCCCAGCCCTCATTCCCTTATTCAGTGAGCACCCTGGGAGCCTCAGTCTGCTTCTGTCTCTCACCCATCCCAACATGAGTCGTGGCTGGGAACTGGCTACTGTCTCCTGAGAGAGCAAGCTGGCCGCAGTGTCCTGGATTTCAAAGCCACACAAGCCAAGGGTTCTGGGGACATCTTTCCCTCCATGTCCCTTGCTCAACCCTTCCTCTAGTGCATACAGTCTGAGCCATGGTGATCTGTACTGACCCTTGAGTTGGCATTCAAAACACACAGCAGATGGAGGCTTCCGTACACTGTGGAGTTGGCCTGGCATTTTCCAGCTGCCTCAGGAGGAAGCCCTCCCATCTTTGCCTAGGTTCCTGCTGTGATCAGAAGTCTCAGGAACTCAGGTTGCTTTCTGGTGTCTTCTACACAAGCCAAATTTGGAGAACTGGGTGAGCCTTGGATATCTTCTAGAAGTTTCCAGGATGCTCAGCTTCAAGGATCTTGGGAGCTGGATGCTCACTTTCCCCTTTGGGTTCTGGTCCAGCCATTCAAAGTATGCACTCTTCTCCTTTGGCTTCTGCCAGGTGGGGTGGGGACAGGTGCTTGGTCCACTTCCTGAAAACTGCATGTGTCCTCAGAAACTCGATGGTCTCAGAGAAGCTGCCTGTGATTGAGCCAGGAGCTCACAACTGCCTGCTCAGTGCTGACCATTATGGGCCACCTACCTCCGGGCCACCCATCCACCTGTCCCTGCTGGGTTCATCTCTGACTCATGCTTCAGCTTCCTTCCTGTCCTCTTCCCTGAACACTGTGTGCAGCTGTTCTCCTCACTCTCCTCCAGACACATTCCTCCTTCCCTGTGGATCATCTTGAAAGGTTGTCTTCCTTCTTTAGGGCCTGGCTCAGTGCTTTCCCCACCTCCAGAGAACTTCCCAACATGCTCTGACCCCCTTGGGGTTCACCAGCCCTCTCTTACCCTCTTGGGGCTCAGCTAGTCCATGCAGATGTCCTTAGGACCCTCTCAGATCCTACTTCCCTCTTGAGGGGAAGTTCTGCAGTCCCCACTCTCTTTCTTAGGGCTCTTCGACCCCCCGACCCTTCTTGTTGTCCTTATGCCTCAGTGGTTTCCTGTTAATGCCAACCTTCACTACTACTCTCACACTGCGTAAGACAAGACAGAAGAAAAGAGGCTGATGACTTGCTCAGGACACAGATCCTAGTGCTAAGGTTGGGGTTGCAAAGGGATCATGTACAGAAATTAGCATGGCCTGTCCCAGACCCAGCAGAGCTCACAGACCTGTGGGAAAATGAGACAAGGTGTCCACGGAGCCTTGCAGAGCTACGTAGTTCCCAGGTGGTGTGTGTAGGGGCCGATGAGGGGGTGCTGTTGTCCTCCTTGGGTTTAGAGGGAAGATAAGGGTCTTGCCAAGTGTGGCTGCAGCCAAGGCCAAGGGACACGCATGGCAGAGAAACAGCATGTGCAAAGAACTGGAGGCAGGGAGAGCTGAGGCTCAGTAAAGACAGCATGGTTGGAATGTTTGGGGTACACACACAGCCTGCCCCCCCGAGGAAGTCTGGGATTCCCTGTTACTTATCTGTTTATGCAAAAGAGAGTCCCCTTCCCTTCCTGAACTCCAGCTTCTTCATTGGAGTTTGCATCCCCCTTCCTGGGTTTCCAGATTTTCTGCTACTGAAAGTCTGTATTTAGCTCCAGCATGGCACAGCCCAGGAAAGGGCAGCCACCTGCAGAGGGCACTAGAGACCCTTCTGATGGGGCGAGAGGGCTGTCTGTGAGAGGCAGCAATAGGGGTCTGCACCAGCTATGGATCTGCACCTACAGGCCAGGAGTATGAGGTCGGTGCTCTTCCCAGCTGGGGAAAGACAATTGTCTGCTGTTCCTGTAGTCCGGGGAGCTGGCGCCTGGCTCTCCTGCTGCTCTGCTGCCCAGCTCCCAGGCTTCCGAGGTTGCGGTCTCGTCCCTCAGACTCCAAGTGTAGCTCCCCTGAAAGCAGAGCCTGAAATGAGTGGCTTGGTAGGTGGCCCTAGGAAGCAGAGCAGCAGGAATGAGGGAGGAGGAGCCGGTGCCACGGAGATGGCCAGCCAGCTCATCCTTGGGCAGAGCCCGCAGAGGGCAGAGGCAGGAGATACGTAACTACAGTTTGGGGTCGAGGCTTGAGTCAGAAATGAGAGCTGGGCCAGGCTCTGGTGGGAGGTGGGGCACAGCGGGACAGTTGGGATTATGGAACTGCAGCACAGAGGTGGCTGAGGGTGTGCTGGAGACCTCTGACCCAACAGCAGGGCTGTGGTCCTGCTCTGGTGCCACGCATGCTCCACCTTCTCCTATCACTCAGGGCATGGTGGCACCCTTTCTGCCTGTGCACTCTGTCCCTTTTGGTTGCCGTGCTCTCTGCCACCAGATTCCCCTCACATGCATGGTGGGCCTCTACCACCTGTCTTGCTTAGAGCCAGCCGCTGCTCAGATTAGAAGCCTCCTACTCACAGGGCCCACTCTGGTTATCCTGTTCGTTGGGTGCCACCTGGTGTCCATGTTGTAGGTTGCTTCTCTTGGGTTGGTCAGATTTCATAGAGAACACTTCCAGTCTCTGGCCAGAGGACAGAACACCTGCAGCTGAGCAGCAGGGAGCAAGTCTAGGGCTGGGGTCTGGCTCAGACTCAGCATGTAAAACAGACCCCTTCTGTAGGGAGCGGTGCGACCGCCCCGCTGCTGTCTCCCGCCTCTCCCTCATATGCGCACATAATACGCCTACATTAACCATAATCCTCTCCTACTTACGTCACGTACACGGACGTGACGATGACCCATCAGAGATTACCCCATAGCCTCTTCCTGTCCCACCGGCCCACCCCTGCCCTATAAAAGCAGCCACCACTTTATCAATAAATGAGGCTTGATCAGAATTTCTCGACTTGTCTCCATCTCTCTGTCTCCTACCCTGAATCTGTCAATCCCCGTTCCTTCACCAGGAAACTGCCCCGCGGATCCGGATTGACCCGTGGGCTAGGTCACCCTTCATTTTAAGGCCAGTGCCTGGTGGTCTTTGGTCCTGTGCTCTCGTTTGGCTTCTCTAAGAAAGACACCTTGTGTCCTGGGTGGAGTTGGACAAGGAGCACAAGCCACATGGCTTGGTAGCCTGGTCTGAGCTGCTGGCTTTTTTCTACACAGCATCAAACAACCCTCCCGTTGGGTACCTTCCTTCAGCCAGCTCTCACCCTGCCCAGAAGTAACTTGTCCCATCTCAGAGCCACACTGCTCACAGCCCCTGCCTCTTTGAGCTTACTGCACAGACTTCTGGGATCTGCTATGTCAGCACGATGAACTCACTTTCAAAATTGTGCGGCTGCTGTCCCCTCACTCATTTGTCCTTCTGGGTTCCTGATTTTTGAGCTATTAACTTTTACGTGGAGGGTCATCTTTAAGGGAAAATATGTTTCAGTTAATTTTCAGGTGGTAATGATTCATCCCCAAGTCCCCAAATAAGGCAGAACACAGTCCTTATTTCTTTCCTCAGGACGCTGTGGGCTGGCTTCTCTCTGCATCCAGCATCTTGGCCAGAGCCGAGTGCTGGGATGCCCTCATTTGAGGTCTGGAAGGGGACTGGATGGCCAGCCTGGGTTTCCTCACATGCTGGGGCCCAAGGCCCTGGGCAGCAAGACAGTGAATAAATCACAGCTCAGCAGCACTTTAAACAAAGAAAAAAGATTCTGTTTCTTAGCACAGTTTTAAATTCACCTGATGGTGAAAAGAAAGTACAGATGCTTCTCATGTGTCCCCCTCCTCACACATGCATGGTCTCCCCATCAATACCCTGCTTGAGTGGCATAGTTGCCACAGTGAGTGAGCTACACTGACACATCATCGTCACCTAATACCCACCATCTACATTCGGGTTTGCTCTTGGCTTGGTATATTCTGTGGGCCTGGATAGATGCGTAATGTTGTATACTTACCACTGCAGTCATACAAATAGTTTCATTACCCTAAATACTCTGTGCTCTGCTATTTTTCCCTCCATTTGTCAACTCCTGACCACTATTAATCTCTCACTGTTTCCATACTTTTGCTTTTCCATAATGTCAAATTGTTGGAATGATATAGTTTTTCATTGTTCTCAGGTTGGTTTCTTTCATGTAAGTTTCATCTCATGTTTTCCTGGCTTGAGAGCTCATTTCTTTTGTGCACTAAATATAATAATCCATTGTCTAGGTGTGTTGCAGTTTGATTATCCAGACACCTGCTGTTGCAGTCAGGGTTTACAAGAAAAATAATTTGATGCAGGACACATAATTTATAGAATTATCTTATAATAGTCAGCCAAGGAGTCAAACACAAAAAGTGCAAGAAATCTGTCCACATACTAAAGACTCAAATAATCCAGCTGAGGGCCTGAATCCCATGGCAATGTCCTGCATGAGTCCAGCTGAAGATCTAGAACCCATGATAGTACCTCCCATGAGTCCAGCTGGAGCCATAGAACCCACAACATACAAGTCTCATACAAGTCTGTTTCTGGGCTGGGAAGGCCCAAAGGTCAGCAGTAGAAGCTAGAGAGTCCGTGCCAGTGGAATGAAGGATCTGTGTCAGTAGGTTGAGGGTTCTGCACTGGAGCCAGGCAGCAATGTTCAATGTAAGGACCAGAGCTCCCCCCGCAAAGTACCACAATCATCTTCAGCAACAGTGAGGTCTTGACCTCCTCTGATGGAGAGAACAGTCAAGTTCATACCAAGAAAGAAACTCAACAAGCTCCTCCAACAGAACCAATGGCAACAGGAGAACCAGCACCACCACTTCTTCCTCTCTGATTTTCCTTTTATGCTGTTGGCAACAATCTTCAAGTGGGCCGTCCACACCCAGCACTGTGCTGATTCAGTTCAGCTGGGTGTTATGAGTTAACCAACAGTTGTCTGTCCACCACATTGCCAAAAGACATCTTGGGTACTTCTGGATTTTGGAAAACTGTAAATAAAGTTGTTGTAGACATCCATGTGCAGGCTTTTGTGTAGCACTAATTTTCAGCTCCTTTGGGTAAACATCAAGTCAAGTCAGCTCAGTGTCTGAGAACTTTTCGAGCTTCTGCATGCATCACTTTTGCTGATGTTACCATGGCCCAAACAAGTCCTGAGGGCAGATGTGGGGAAGAGAAGAAGTTTTACCTCTGGATGAGATGATCAGCAAGGTCACACTGCAAAGGTCCACTGGGAAGAGTAGAGTTGATGATCACATTTGCAGTGGGCTTCACTTTGGTGCATGTTTTGTGAATTCTTGATGTTTGGCAGAAAGTATCAAGTCATTTGATTGTAAAGAATGAAAAAGGCCACAGGATTAGGTGACTTCAGAAACTTCTTAGCCAAATGGCCAAGAAATAAATAAAATATGTGCAGCTTATTGCTGCAGGAAGCCTGTAAAGGTATGTTTCACATATTATTTATCCCACAAACATTTATTGAGTGCTGTTATGTACTAGATGCTACAGTTGCAGGTGTGGCTCCGAGAGATAGTTCAGCTCAGTTTCTGTTCCAGTGAGGGTTTGGGGCCAGAGACAGAAAATAGGATTCAGGATGCACTGCTTACTGCCTGGCCGCTCAGCATGTGGTTCATGACTAGCAGCACCAGCAACCTTGGGAACTGGCTGGGAATGCAGAATCTCAGCCTTGCTGAATCAGACCCACAGGCTCAAGGTCCTGGGTTTAAGATCCTGGGGGATCCCAGGGCACATTGGTCTGGAAAGCCCTTATCTCCTGGGATGTGACCACAGAGAGGTCCTGCCTGTCTAGGGGTTTCCAGGATCCTTTGGGTGGTCTAGTTTATGACTTTTTCATCTGGTAGGGATTGAAAGAACAGTGGAAGGTCAAAAGGTGCTGGAGCCAACATCTTTATCCTGAGCCGCCTTCCTGCCTGTGCTGCCTGTCCTGCACTGCCCTCTGGTGGCCGTAGGAGGTCACTGCTGCCTCACATTGCACATCACAGCAACAGGGCCCTAAATCCAATTTGTCACTAATGTCCTTCTAGAGACATGACCTCAGGCCTTCCTAAGGTCAGAGGCTGTATTCTGGCTTCCTACTCTGCCCCACTGCTCAGCTTCAGCCGGCCACTCTCTGAAGCTCCATTGCCATCAGCTTCCTCATTATGTAGATCTGGGGGACTCCTGTGACACCCTGAACCCTCCCATGGGGCCAATCTCCTCCTCTTTCAACCCCAGTGTCCCTGCACTGAGTGACAGGAGCTGGGCCTAGAAGTCGCCCACTTGGGGGGGGGGTTGGGATGGTTTCTGGCTTTGAGAACTTTAGTTCCTGTTCCTCTTTTTCCTGTGGAGAACCAGCATCTGTGAATCTTAGCCTTTGAGTTCTCTCTGGGGCTTGGTCAGGTGCAGGGACACACACTTCACTTGTGGACTCCTTTCTTCTCTGCTTGCCTGTCCACAGCCTTATTAGTATTTCCGGGGTCCTTTCTCAAATAAACAATTTGTTCTCAAATTAGTGAGTTGGACTCAAATTCTTGTCTGAAGGTCTGCTTTTAGGAGAAGCCAAATGAAGAGTATCCAGCTAAATCACTTTATTTTCATTGTCTTTGGTGCAGGGTAATGAGAAAGTGTTATGGAGGGCAGATGCTCAGATTTTCCCCTCTGACTTCTGGACCAGGTGTTGGGAGCAGATCCTACTTGCTTCAGAGGGGCAGTGAATGAGATGGTGGTCAGAGTAGCCATGACTTCCCTGCCAGGCGGGTCCTCTGGGCCACGCTGACCTTAGACACTGGAGCCCTTGCAGGCAACTAACTATAAGGCAGATGCCCTCATCAGGGCAGCAAGTTTCAGAGCAGCTAAAGGGGTGGTGGTTACACCCAGCATCTGGCAGCCAGCCTCCTGCAAGGCTGCCTCCACCATCTTCTTCTTTAGGTAGATCCCAAAAAACTGCAGGCCCACCAAGTAGTGCTTCACATGCAGGGCTGCCATGGTGGCCAGGTGTCTGCCTGGCTTCAGCAGGCTGACTAGGCCCCGCATGGCCACCCGGTAGGCATCTATACTGGGACAGGCACCCTCCAGGGTCAGCAGCGTCAGCACGCAGTTGGCTGGTGGCACCTGGTTGACCGTAGTGGGTGCGGCTGGGTCACATCACACTTCAGCAATCTCTTGACTGATTTTTGGAGCCAGGCCTCCTTCTCCTGCCATCTGTTCCTGCAGGCGACAATCACAGAGGTGAGGTGTTAGGTATAATGACCAATTGACAATATTATGACATGTAACAGTATAGCAAGTAATGAAAGTGATAATTATAATAAATATCTTCATTATGATCATCCCTGGCCCTAGCCAGTCATCCTTGGGCAAAGCCCATAACTTAACTTGTTCAGAAAATAAATGTTTGAGAGAGATGTTGTTTCTTGTATTATGAAGATGAGGAAATGAAGGAACAGAACTACTCAAGTTTATCCAGCTCTCGTGATGGTAGATTATGTATTTTACTATCCTCTCCTTCATTTCTACCTCCTTCTTAACAAATAATTGTTTGGAATATTTCATTATTGATTTTTAAGCTGTAAATTATATATAATAAAATTTTCCACTTTGATAAGTTTAAATCGTACTATTTAGTGGTATTTATTGTGCTTGCAATGTTATGGAACCATCATATTGTTTCCCAATACTTTTTCCTTGCTCTCTATGGAAATTATATATAATAAAATTTGCCACTTTGATAAGTTTAAATCGTACTATTTAGTGGTATTTATTGTGCTTGCAATGTTATGGAACCAT